GTCAATAGCGGAATCGTAAAAGTCATCAACAGGTAAAGCGTAGTTAATCATTCTGTTTGATATGGTAAGTCCATCAGTTTTTTCATGAAGCAACCAATTATGAAGGCTACGGTACAAATAGCTTTTAAATTCAGAATGATTCTTATTTGATACCTTACCCAACCGCATTTGGTTCCAGACACCTGCAACAGTTGAGTTTATTGCTGTATCCTTTTGTTCCTGAGTTAAACCAATAGCTTCCTTCATCGTGTTTACTAAAAATCGACAATGATTCAAAAGCTGTTCAGGTGTTACCCCTGTATTTTGGTCTATATCAGTTATCAGCTTTTCATTATACAATTTGGCTGTATCAAGCCTCGGAATATTTTGTTTGTAATTAGCCATAACTATATATATCTGAAAAAACTGCAAAGGACAGGGTTGGGGTAAAAAAAGATGAGGGGGGCGGGGGCTGGGTATCTGCGCTTCAATACGCTTGCTATTGGTGATTGCCTTCCGGCTAACTTAATATTGGAAATAGAAGGGGCAATAACCCCCGTAGCTGCTCCGCAGGGTTGATGATTGCCAAAGGCTAACTTGGCTACCGCCAAGCCCTAGGCTTCGCCGTTGAGGTGGATTATCATCTAACTGGCTTCCAGCCTAGTTAATTATAATAAGGAAAAATAATGTTGACTAAAGGCAACTGCTCCGCAGGGTTGATGATTACCTTACGGTTAACCAAATTTAACTGAATAAACCAAAATTTTGTTCTTGTATATATTCTTGTATTTATTCTTGTATATAGTTCTTGTATAATTAGCAAGATTTATGCTATGGTCATAGCACGTTTTATGCTATGGTCATAGCAAGATTTATGCTATGGTCATAGCACGTTTTATGCTATGGTATAGCAACATTTATGCTATACCGTACCCCACATTTGTGCAACAGCTAAAAAATAAATCCTTCCCTCAACCCCGATTCACTTGACTTATTTTCAGAATTACTTACATTAGGGGAAATAACTGGTTTGAAAGGATTTTTCAACTGATGGAAGATTTTTTGTCTTTTCTTTAAAACCAACATATTTATTATTATACAATAGCAATATTGTATCTGGTGCAGGGGGATACGGCCAATATCCCCTTGCTTTTCCCCCAGATTGGGGAACCAGAAAAGATAAGTAACCCAATCAAAAAGGGTTGCAATTTATTAATGGGAAAATAAAATGAAAACCAAAACCATTTCACCAAGGGTGAAATATGAAGAAGTATCTTACTACATCACATCAAGCCATTGTAAAACCAATAATTCGGCTTATTACATTTCAAGAATCACAAACGATTTATTAAGGAAATTGATTCACATTGAATCCCAAGGTAAAACCAACCACTTTACCAACAAAAGCCTTAGCACAATTACATTCTTAACTCTTAGACAGGTTGAAGACTCAATTGCAATTTTGAAGCAAAAAGGCTTCATTAATTGCTTTTATAATTTATCAAGTACAAACGGCAAATTTCAAACAGCTAGAACAATAACCATCAATTGGAAATTCGTTGAAGAAGCCTATTCAATAATCCCTGAAAAGGTCTTTAACTCAGTTGAAGAACCTGAACAGGAAATTAACCCAGAGAAGGAACCAGAGCAACCAACACCTCCTTCAACGCCTCCAACGCCACCGGCACTAGTTAAACAATCTATTTCACCATTACAAGAAATCACCAATCAAGTGCATGAATATGCAATTGCAAATGGAATTAATCCAAAGCATAAGACTTGTGTGGAACTGATTGATTTGCTTTGGAAGAAGAACCAGAAAGCGGAATCAATTGATTTAAATACCGAAATAAGTGAAGCCCTTGAAAAGGCCTTTAATAAAGTAATTATAAACCCAACCCTATGACCTACGTAAAATGTAATGATATTTCAATATTTGGAAGTAAGAAGCCAGTTGTTATATATGGTATGTATGTTAATCTTCCACTTTCCGATATTCTATCGGTTCATTATTGCATTTGGGGCAAACCTTATGTATATAGAACCATAAAATATGAAGGAAAGAAAATTGATTTACATAAAGAAGACCTTTTACCAGAATCAATTACCATAACAAAAAAACAATTTGAAGAATCATTTTCGCTATGAACAACACAACCAAACAACTAACCGCTTTACAGGAAGATATGTTATCAGAATTAAGGTCTGAACAGCCTTATCAATACCACAAATATAATTTTGAACCCTTTGAACAGAAGGCAATTCAGCAGCTTGTTGAAGCCGGTATTGTTCTAAAAACCATCAACAGAATCCAATATCAAGGACGGTATTCAACCAAGGTATCACTGATAATTGTTCCCGGCTGGCTGTAAAATAATTTTATAAAAAAGACCTCAAAACCTGTCTTTTTTAAAAAACTCAGATATATATAGAATATAAACAAAACAACCAAAACCTATGAAACACTTAATGTACTTAACCTTTTACCTTGTATGGCTAATAGCTATGACAATAATACCAAATTATCATTTTGGCATATTCTGCACTTTAGTAATTGGCACTATACATTATATAATATCCCTTTTTAACTCAGACAAATCTTAAAAAAATGAAAGTACCCAGACCAACTACACCCCAAAAAAAAATCCTTGATGATACGTTTCAGCAGATAATAGAATCAAGTCAGGATTTACTTGAAGCCGAGGAAAATGAAGATTATGAATTGTGTGCTTTAATCAGTGATACACTGAATGTATTCCTGCTTAACCGCGCTCAGATGCTGGCTGAAATTAAAACAGGGTTTACATCAACCCAGATATTCCAAGTGCTAAGGAATGATGCTGATGAAGCGTTAAAGATGCTTAGGGAACAGGACTAATCAAAGATAAGATTACTGGCTAGGTATCAATGATTAAGAAATTTCCTAAAAATAAAGTTGCGTTTTCACTTGGCACTTATCAAAACAATTGTGTAGAGTTGCCAAATAAGAATGAAAACATCAACTTTTCAAAAAAACTCAGATATAAATTATTAAAACCAAAATTATAAAAATGACAAGATTAAATTTTAAAATCACACCTGTACCATTAACGAATTACAATGTCATCGTTGAATTGATAAACGGAAATATTACAACATGTGAACCACCTGTTATTGTTCCAATCAAAAAGTTTAGTTCATTTTTCATTGGTAC